AATGTCCATCAACAGATGACTGGATAAAGAAGGTGTGGTATATTTATATAATGGAATACTACTCAGCCATAAAAAATAATGTCATTTGCAGCAACGTGGTTGGACCTAGAGATCGTCATTCCAAGTGAAGTAAGCCAGAAAGAGAAAGAAAAATATGATATGATATCATTTATATGTGGAATCTTAAAAAAAAAGAACACTATAAACTCATCTACAAAACAGAAACAGACTCGCAGAAATAGTAAACAATTTTACGGTTTTCAAGGAAAGGGAGTGGGAAGGGATAAATTTGGGAGTTTGAGATTTACAAATGTTAGCCACTATATATAAAAATAGCTTTTAAAAAAGTTTCTTCTGTATAGCACAGGGAACTATGTTCAGTATCTTTTAATAACCTTTAATGAAAAAAATGTGAAAACTAATATATGTATGTATATGCATGACTGGAACATTGTGCTGTACACCAGAAACTGACAGATTGTAATTTACTATACTTCAATAAAAAATTTTAAAAAATAAAATGGTTAAGATGGTAAATTTTACATATGGTATATTTTACCACAATAAAAATTACATTCATCTTTTAGTTCCGTTTCTAGAAATTCTATTTGGTCCTTTTTTGAATTTATTTATTTATTCCTTGTGTTTTTTATGTTTTCTCATTGATTTAAACATGATAAACACTTTTCAAATAGCTTGCATCTGATAAGAAGGCATTGGAGAGCTACATCTTTAGTTTATTGTTTGTACTGATGGTGGCTTTCTTAAAAGTTGTGGGCATGTTTGGCTGGGCTTGATCTGTGAGAATCTTGTTAAAGTCTCTGTTAGGGGTAGACGCCTCCAGCAAGGACCAGATTTGCTTCTACCACATATCTGGATTTGCCTCTAAAACTGAATTGGGCTATGCTAATAGTATTCACTTGAACTCCAAAACCACATGAGGGCAGGCTTGTGATTGCAAACATCAAAGAACGCCAACAAGAAAATGCAAAGAAAATTTACAGAATGGAAGGAAATACTTGTAAACCATAAAGAGTCTAGTATTCAGAATATATAAAGAACTTTTACAACTCTACAACAAAAAGACAAACATCCAGTTAATAAACAGGCAAAAGACAGAAATAGACATTTCCCCAAAGATACAAATGGCTAATAAGCATACGAAAATATGCTTAATATCATTAATCATTAGAAAAATGTAAATCAAAGCCACAGTGATACCACTTCGCACCTAGTAGGATGGCTATAAAGGAAAAAAATCCTGAAAATAACAGGGATTGGCAAGGATGTGTATAAATTGAAACTCTCGTACACTGCTGGTAGAAATGTAAAATAGTGCAACTGCAGGAGAAAACAGTTTGGTGGTTCTTCAAAAAGTTAAACCTATGACCCAGAAACCCCACTCCTAAATATATACCCAGAAGAATTGAAAACAGATATTCAAACAAAATTTGTACACGAATGTTCAAGCAATCATAGCAATCAAAGCAGCAATAGTCACAAACACCAAAAGGTGGAAACAAGTCAAATATACATGAAGTGATGCAAATGAATAAGCAAATGTGGCATATCTGTGCAATGGAATATTATTCAAACATAAAAAGGACTGGGGTACTGATACATGCTACAATATGGATGAACCTCAAAAACAGGATGATAAGTGAGAGATCTCAGACACAAATGGTCACGTATGAAATGTCCAGAACAGGAAAATCCATAGAAACAGAAAGCACATTAGTGCTGACCAGGGGCTGCAGGGAGAGGGGACTGGAAAATGACTGCTAATGGGTATGGACTTTCTTCATAAGATGATGAAAATGGTTTTGAATTAGATAATAGCAAGGGTTGCACAACATTGTGAACATACTAGAAATGACTGAATAGTATATTTAACTTTTAAAAAGTAATAGCTACCATTATTGAGCATGTTCTCCCTACAAAGCATCATTCTAAGAGGGTTCAAATCCAAGATCCAACACTTACTAGCTGGATGCCTTTAGGCAAGTTACTTAACCTCTCTATGACTCAACAACATCATCTGTAAAATGAGGATAATAGAAATATCTACCTCCATAGGTTTGTTATGAGGATTAAATGCATTAATATGAATAAAGTACTTTGAACATTGCTTGGCATATAGTAAGAATTAGCTATGTGTTAGCTACAGGCACACCTCATTTTATTGTGTTTCACTTTGTTGTGCTTTGCAGATATTGCGCTTTTTACAAATTGAAGGTGTGCAGCAACCCTGCGTTGTCAGATGATGGTTAGCATTTTTTAGCCATCGAGCATTTTTAAATGACGGTACCTCTGTTGTTTTTTTAGACATGCTGCTATTGCACACTCAATAGACTACAGCATAGTGTAAGCGTAACTTTTATATGCATCAAGAAAATAAAAACTTCATGTGACTTGCTTCATTTCATGATTTGCTTTATTGCAGTGGACTGAAACTGAACCCACAATATCTCCGAGGTATTCCTATACCGTGATCATTTCAATTAATCCTCATAACAACCCCATGAAGTAGGTACTATTAGTTATTTCCACTTTACAGATAAGAAAACTAAGGCACAAGGAGAATGAGTAACTCACCAGGTTAGCCAGCCAGTAAGTGGCAGGCAAAGCTAGGATTCAGACACCAGCAGTCTGGCTTTAGGGTCCCTGCTCTCAACTATTGCCATGCTCAACCTCACATAAATCTCACATATCAAGCACTTGAATTCATAGCTATTTTTGCCGAGGATGAGACTCAGTTAGGTATTTAAGGTTTTCAAAAAGTGAATCAATGTAAGCAAACACGTTAAGTAAATACTACCATAGCTGGTACCCAGGTATGGCAAAACTTTCACGGGTACGTGAATGACTGAGGTGCAGAAAATACTGGAGTAAAAACCATGGAAATCTAAGCTGTGACAGAACATACCGAAGCCATTACCCATGGAACATCCCTTGACATCTGTTTGAAAGCGAATTGGTCAATCAGCCATTTATTAGCTACCCATCACCCCCTGGGAATATATGACCACAGTGGGTGGTCACAGTGCCCGAAAACATTTGAATTTCTTTTGCAGTTAAAAGAGAAAAAATTAATATGAAACAACCCAAATTATATTCATCTTTATATCAACACAGTTGTAAAATATAATTTTAAAAAATTTTTATGGAGCCAAGGGCCTAAGAAGGCAAAAATGCGTAGGGCTCAGAAAAGCCCGAATGTGATTCTGACATATGGGACTCGTGACCTCCCCCTCTTGACTGTGTCTTCAAGGAACCAGCTCAGCAGCCAATGCATATAGCATCCAGCTCCTTTTAGTGTGCCCTCAGTGTTGAGCAAAAGCCAAGAGACCACGTTTGGGAAACCCAGCACTACTGGATCACAAACCTCTGGCTTAGGGAGATCCAGCAAGGCTCCGGAGCAAGGGGGGAGAGGCTTGATCCAGAGCAAGAGGAGGAGGAGACCGCTGAACCCCTGACACTCAGGATTTTTAAAGACTACACAGTGGCTTGCTTCCCCAAATACCTTAATCTTCCTCCATTCCTGCGTGGAACTTCAGCATCATTTACTCCTTTGAAAGAAGACGGCAAGAATATGGTGAAAAGCGCCCAGATTTACATCAGACTCGCTCTTACGACTATGACCAAGCGGCTTGGCTTCCCTGGGGCTCAGTTTTCTGGGTAAAAAATGGGGAAATAATAATGGTAGTTCTTAAAGTAAAAGTAGGATAAACTATGTACAGTCCCAAGCAGGGGACTGGTTTTTAAAAGTGATTGTTATAATACGAGGGACGTTAAAACGTCCTGGAACACCAGCGAACACTTCTTGGAGGAAGAACCACAGTCTTCATTCGTGGCCCGGCCCTTTTTTAATTTGATACATTGGTGGGATGGGGGAGGGGAAACAGCTCAGTAAGATAATTCTATTTTTTTAAAATGGAGGCAGAGAAGAGGAGGGGGTAGTGGAGAAGGCGAGGGACTCTTCCCAGGTCTATAGTGCTGGCCCGGGAATAAGGCGTGCCTTGGGCGCCTGCAGAGCGGCGTGCAGTGATAAGCCCAGCAATAGCAAATGTTGCATGCTTCAGGCGCTGCAGGAAGGGGCCCGTGCAGCACAGGCATTCTTGGATACACTAAGCACTTGGCAGGTTTCTGCACTTGCACTGACGTGGGTTCATTATTAAAAATCTTAAGTCCTTGGAGCTTTCTCAAGAAGCACGTAGGGTTTCTTGCAGCGTGCATCTGAGCACCCGGACTGCTCCGCAAACCCAACCGCAAACTCCAGCTCCCGGAATGCACGGTGGGATCTGATTTCTAAAATCTCGTGCTAACAGCCTCCAAGTCAATCATTTTGTCCTAGCCACCAGCAGAATTCGCGGATTTTGTACACGAACGGAACAGAATCAGATAGTCCTATCCATCCCACCAACTTCTAGGAAGGGAGAGCCTTGCTTAGTTAGAGCCCAGTGCAGGAGAAACTTAACTTCGCTCTAGTGTGCTTGGTTTGCTGAGGGCTCCACGCTTTCCCCCGCCCTCTCTCTCCGCCTTTTCCTCTGAGGAAGCAAGGAGTACCGTGACATTCGCGGGCTGCGGAACATCGAGGGCTGGGCGGAGGAACATTGTCCAAACATTTCTGCGCGAGCGCCAAGAACTCGTGTAAAATCGTGCCTCCCCCCCGCAAACGGCTTTCACAATCCAGCACAGCCCCTTCCTCCAATCAGACACTTCGTCTGAGTTGGAAACAGTCAGTTAAACTAACTACAAGTTGGAATCACCGTTCCCCGAAAAAGCGCGCCCACGACCAGCTCTATTCTCACGCTCACTCGCCCTATTTTACTTACACGCCCCGGCCGCAAGCGCGCCACCGTCAGGTCCCACCGACACCAATTAGAGGCAAGGTGAATGCTAGCAGTGGGCGTCTAACCGGCGCGAATGAGTACACTTTGAACCCGCGGAAGGCAACATACCCCTATATAAGGCGCGCAAGCCTGAGAGTCGGCGCCAGAAGAGGTCCCGGCGCCAGAAGAGCTCCCCACCAGGACACTGGTCCCAGCTCAAGCCCGCTCCAGGGATCCGCACGACCCCAGCGCAGTCTGCAGAAGCGCGAGGTTTCATCGACAGCAATCAGAACATGAATCGTTCTCCTGGCTGCAGCCACTCTGGCACAGGCTGTTACAGCCTGGGAGTCGGCGAGGGCATGGAAGAACTAAATGGTGGGTGCCTAGACGGGGACAGGTGCTTTGGCAAATTCCAGAGAAGGAACTTTCCCTGGGAGGGGCGAGTGGACGGGACGCTGCACGGCAGTCGCTTCTCTTGCATCTCAGCCCTTTGCCCCCTCCAGTCCACCCATCTCCCTGGTATCTCTCTTTTTGCTCTTTTTTCCCAGATGTGACGCCTACCGTGTTCTCGGAGGTTGTAAATGGAGAAGGGGCGGAGGGTACAGGAGCCGAACCTGAGCCAGAAGTAGCAGCAGCAGCAGCAAACTACATTGGCTCGGCAGAGCCCAGGCCCTTGGACGACGAAAACCGTGAGGGCGGCGGCAGCGACGATGATCTTGAGCCCCCGGAGCAGCAGATGGAGGTGGCCCCCCCAGCCGCTGAGGAGCCACAGGTCGCGGAGAGAAAGCAGCGCCGCAACCGCACTGCCTTCACCGAGCTGCAGCTGCGGGAGATGGAGAACCTTTTCCGTCGCGTTCAATACCCCGACGTGTTCGCGCGGTGAGTACCTGGCTCCGGAGGCGCCCAGTTCTCCCGGGACCCACGCTCATCCCGGGGCGCCTTAGTCTCTTTCCCGGGACTCTCCCCCTCTTCTCCTGGGCCAAAAGCCACTTAGAAGACTCAAGGGCGCCGGATCCGCCCTAGCTCTCTGGGGTTGGGGCAATGCCTATAGAGCTTGTGGGGTGCAAGACAGAAGCGGAACTAGAGTGAAACGAGTAAGGCAAGGCCGATTAATCCTGCTTTCATTTAGAAGTTTGGCAATTTGTTCATCGTAGGATTTTTGCGTTCGTTTTTATATTTTGAATATTGCATTAAAATATTTATAGTGATTACTCAGCTTTTTCGCCCCCTTTAAATTTTGCGCACGAGGGGAGCACCTCTTTTGCCCTACCCTAGTCTCGACCCTGCCACGTGAAACGCTGTTTCCAGGCGGCAGTTCTGACCCTTAAAAAGACCGTGACTCATTCCCGTCGCTTGCTTTCCCCGGAGCACCTGTCGTCCAGATCCCCTTCGTATACGAACGGGCAGGACTATTCCGGCCCGATAGGAATGAAGGACCAGGACAAATCCGTGTGAGGTTTAGGCGCGCCCTTTCTAATTCCGCTGTATTCAGCCTTCGCCGGCCAAAGAGCAAAGAGATTTTCCCTTGAGCGCTTGGACGACGTGGTTTGAGAGTTCACCTCTCGCTTTTACAATGAATAGAAATACTCTGGTTCAAAACACCAATTTTTTTTAGTATTTTGGCGTTTTATTTATTTTCACGGAGGAATCTCCCAAGAAAAGAGTTTCAGGTTAATTCTCTGTTGCTTCCCAAACAGGAAAAAAAAAAGGATTGTCATACCCAACTAACAGACACACTACCAGGAATTTTCATATATATTCCCTTTTTATATTTTACTTAACAGATAAGGGGTCCATGGGAAAACCCTCCCTAAAGCAAACCTCAAGCTGTATTTCAGAAAACTGCACCGGGAGGAGGGGTAGAAATGTAAATGATACGTCTTATCCGTCTTATCCGTAATTCCACATGCTGAACCTTTACAATTTTACCCCCTCAGAGAGCAGCTTGCAGGACGCCTGAATTTGACTGAAGCCAGAGTGCAGGTGAGTAAATCTTAAAAGAGGGATTGGTAGGGCAACCATTCTGAAACATACTTTAGGTTTTGTCCTGGAAATTCTCAAGTTGGTGTGTTTTGTTGTCTTTTCCATGTTTATTTTAGCAAGTGAGTTTTGAACATTGGGTGTTTTTAGGGTGGAAAATGGGACAAGTAAGCTCTAGCTTATGGGAATTTCCCATTACTAGAGGGAATATGATTTCCTAAAGGGAAATAAATAGAATACACATCTCTCTCCTCCTTTCTACACACACACAAACACACACACACACACACACTTCTTTCCAATAAATAAATTTCATCTCCTTCTAACACTGGCATCTTTTAGGAAGGATGTTAGTCCTCCCTAAAGGAATATTCCTATACTGGGGCTCAGTCTCACCTGGGAAGTATTCAAATTAATGCTCTGAAGAGCTAGGTTATAAGAAAGTTCAACCATACTAAATTATTTAAAATACTTAAAACCAAGCATAAGCTCTTGGCTAAATGAGTGAACTTATAAATATTTAGACATTGGGGTGAGGGAGTAATTCAAACACAGAACATAGTACATGAGTAACTAATGTATGTTTAGTTAAGCTGAAACTGATGGCGGGGGGAGTGGCTTAAAAGTCCAAGTCCCACCCAGTGCCTAATACTCCTGCCGCTCTTTTTCAGTGTTTTGTAAAGCAGAGTGGCAGCCTTAAATTTTTTTAACACCTTAAATTTTAATCTTTCTGGAAGATTTTGATGTCAGCCTGAAAACATTGCTAAATTATTGCAATTATGGTGGTAATGGGGAAAGGTTTGCAAGCTTTGAAAAATTATTTTTTATAAAATGAATCCAAAAAAGAGAAAGAACAATTTTGAATAGTTTCCACTAGTCTAAGGAGGGGTGAAAAGTTAGAGAAGAATTGTATACACTTAAATACAGAGGCCATACATATTTGACTTTATGAAACTACTAGATGCATCTGTGAATATATTCTCTTGAAGAATTTTGAGCATCTAAGAATTTTGGGGGTCCTTTTTGGTGGTATTGTTTTGAAAAGGTAGGTTTTTCTGGAATTTGATTAGTTGTGAGGGTGCTCTCACGTCAGGCCAGATTCTCACCTGTGTTAATTTATAATATATTTTCAGTTACTCAGGCAGTGATTACAAATTTGTAGGTCATGAGATCAAAAGTGACTAACTGAGGTCACAGAACACAATAGTTACATCAAAGAAGTATTTCCCCCCTCAAAAAAGATAGATATGTATATACCTGAGATGGCTTAGTGGTTTTACCCCAGAGCACATGCATGAGGACAGTGATGGAAATGTATTGCCCATCTGTGGGTGGTGTGTGGTAGAAAGCAGGCCACTGGATGCTGGCATCCTAATGCCACAGGCTGAACCAACAGTCAAGCATGGTCTCAAAAGGAGTCCTCCACTTTCTCACACAGACAAGGTAAACCCAGAGGAAAAGAAAAACAAGGTTTGCTGAATTGCTCTTCCCCATCCCTGGGTTTACATAGTTCTCTCAATGGATTTCTGAAGGGAAAATGAGCCAGAAAACATAAATAAGGAAAAAGACAATGTTCTCATAAATTTCCAAACACTACAGCATGAATTTCCCCAAGAAACTTAAGAGATACTTTCCCCACCCATCTTTTGCAAATATAGTGGATCTGTTTGATGATACCAGCATTGGGAATATGGACCTGATATTGGCCCATCCCGAAATTTACCATATGTGGGCTTTGGTTATGTTTAGGGCGATCTGACCACAGGCACATTTGAATCCCTCTAAACTGAGCTCTGTTACACTGGCCTTCTTCAGACTTCATATTTGTGCAGTACAAAGACACCAAATCCTAAGATGGGAAAGAGGCTTCAGCAGGCAGATAGAAAGGGCCCTTTGTCTCGTTTAAAACTTGCAGTTTAGGAACTTTCAAAGGGATTAAATACAATGCAGACCCCATCAACTAGTATACTAAGAGGACACGAAAGTCTAATTGACAACTTGTTTGTTTGTTTGTTTGTTAATAGTTGGCAAGCATTTAGGGAGGAGCCTCTTTTGTGACCCCTACCCCACGTGATTGAACATAATTGGACCTTCCTGCCTTAGGAATGAGTGATGGGATTGGGGTCTCCTGGATAAGGAGTGGAGCTGGCAAGGCCTGGGTGTCCTACTACTCTGGGTAGCAGTGGCACCCGTCCAGAATCCTGAAAGTGCAGCTAGAGCTGAATGAGCTGACCTCGTCCTGAGCCCGCGACGGTTTGGAGAGAAGGGCAGATTGGAGCATGCAAAACTGACAGCGGTGATAATACGGTGCCCAATATCTTATCTGGGGCAAAGGATTTTGAGTTTAGTGAATTTGGATTCATTTTAGCTAAACAATCCTTAAGGCTAATGGCTAAAGTATCAAGGCAGTGCCCAGGGCTTCAGTAACTCTCATGTCCCAGCGATATAAGCCACAAAGTCTCTGGGATCTCCCCCTTGACATACCACCTGTTTAGTTTTAATGAGGTTTCAGAGAAAGACTCCTTAAACATTCAACATGCCCATGAATTAGTTATTTCAGACTGAAGATGGGCTTTTCGAATAGAGGGTGGTTCCCCTCAGTATGATTTTAACTGGGCCCACCTTTATCCCATGCTCAGCATCCCCCAAAACCAGGGTGACATTGTCCCTGATGAAAAGGGGGTGGAGGCAGCTAGACAGCTGATGGTCCAGCGTTTCTTTACCCTGTTCCCTGGCATGAACGTTAACACCAGAGACATGGTGCAATTCATCAGTTTGACCTGCATCCCAGATTTGGGGGAAAAACCATTGCAGAATATTAAAAATGAGAGAGAGATAAATCAATGGGCTGAAGTCTGGGCTAGGCTTGGTTCACTAAGGACGAGGGAGGAGGTGGGCTCTTTACTTTCCTAAGATATTTTACCAATAAGAAAATAGCTTCTCCTGCTGCTGTTGAAAATCTCAGTGGCAGAGTTGCGGGTCATATGTTTTCCATTATGATATTAACTGTTCAATATACTAAACCAACTCCTTTTCCCCCTCTGATTGAAGGTTTGGTTTCAAAATAGACGAGCCAAGTGGAGAAGACAGCAGAGGGCACTGATGTTCAGAAACCCGGCCCCAGTTGCCGTGGGTCCCCCTGTGGGGATAATCCTTGATGGGCCCTATCATGCAATCCCTATTCTGGAGCCTATATGGAGATGTGTTCCTCTGTTGCCACCGCCAGTCATGCCACCTCGGCTACCCCGGCCACGACCCCTGCGCCCTGGGCTACCACCGCCACCCATGTTCCCTGGGCCACCACCCATGTTCCCTGGGCCACCACCCGTGTTCCCTGGGCCACCACCTGTGTTCCCTGGGCCACCACCTGTGTTCCCTGGGCCACCCGTGTTCCCTGGGCCACCCGTGTTCCCTGGGCCACGCCTGGTCCCTGGGCGCCCCCCGCCACGTGTGCCTCCCTTTGCTCTGGCCCCTATAGGTGTGGCATGGGCCCCTGTCATCAATGGCCATTTCGCCGGCCCCATTTTCTGAATATGAGCCTCATGACAGTTTTTCCGAAGTGTTTTTCTGCCAGATAGGAATTGTGCACAGCACATCAGAAGTAGTTTATCAGATACCTGTTAAATGAATTGAGTAAGTGAACAAGATTGGTGCCTGTTGTTTTTGAAGAGCCTGTTGTGTTTTCAATAAAAGATGCAAACTAGCAGTATATTGGTTTATGGCATCAAATGGGATAAGAAGGGTATGTATGGGGATTGCAAAGGCAATGCAATTCAAACCATGTCGAAGCTTCCTTTCATAATGTCACAGCCCCAAGTCACTGTAACAGACCATGCACATCACAGGGCTCGCCAGTGCCTGTGGCGGCTTTACACTGACCACACATTCTCATCCCCCCATCCTCATCCCCACCCCACCCTGTTGGGAGCACATACATGTGCAAGCAAGATGGGAAGGGATGGGTCTCTCGTGAGAGGGCAGTGGTTCCAGTCAAGGAGCTCAGCAGCCCTGGGCTCAGGGAAACTTCCTGAGAGGCTGCCCTCCTGGCTGTAAGGGAAGGTGGCAGCCAAACATCTCCATTTTCGTGGAGGTGAGAGGACTGGGAACCATTCTGGTTCAAAGACACAGGAGGGGGCTCCATTAAGATCAGAAAAGGGCTCTTTTCTATTTTCTCACCCCCACCCTCAGGCTGACAGAGCCTATTATTGTAGCTTCTCTAGCTCAGAGACAATCATACCTTCAAGGGTATTTCTCTTAAAATGCATTTCAAATATCCCTAAAGCATAGATCAGAACTTAATTATTCTAATATAGGAAATTATTCTGATTTATAGAAAATCATCAGAAATTGGCTATAGACAAATACATTTACCTGAGATAGATGGTCTTTATATGTTTGTTTTGTTTTTGCAGGGGAAGTGATTAAGTTTATTTACTTTTTAATGGAGGTATTGGGGATTGAACCCCAGACCTCATGCATGCTAAGCAAGCACTCTACCAATTGAGCTACACCCTCCCCTTTAGATGATCTTTACAGACGGCAGTTTGAGCCAACAGGTTTTAAAAACAATCTCAGGAGAAGTTCAGGAACTTCAGCGTTTTACAGTAATCATTCTGGATGTGCTCTTTCTTCCTAAAGTTGTTTCACATTCACGAACACAGGGCAACTTTCATAATAGTCATTTTCCTGTTCAAATGAAGCAGGGAGAAGGTATGAAGTATCTGGGGAAAGAAAGCCTTTTTGATTAGAACTAGATTTCTGTAACCTGGATCTTGTTTCAAACAAATCTAGTCAGAACCTTGGAAGTCTTAACTTGAAAGAGTCTGAAAATCAAAATCTCAGCCATCATTTGGGCTACAAGTATTTAGGGGAAAAGGGCAGGGAAGAGAGGGATGAAAAATAATTATTTAGTTGAGAATACAAGGATTTTGGTTGAGATTGGTGGGAAAAGTGACTTTTTAAACAAAGAGTTACATTACTGTAAATGTATTTTTTAAATGGGGAACAGAGTTTGATCTGAGTTGTTTTCAAAAGCACAACCAGACATTTGCCTGAATTCGGAGCATAGGGTATTGTGCCTAAAGTCAGGCATGCTCTGAGCACATATGGATATGCTGTTTTCTTCCACCCAGACATTTGGTACCGGTGTGACTCTAGGAATTGAGGGCAACTTGCAAGTAAAATAATGGTGTAAAGTAACCGTCCCTGTATTTTCTGATTAGTAAATCCAACTTCATTTCATTTGCATCCTACAGCCCAGGGCCTCCTATTGATGGAGGTGGGGGAGTTAGTATAAATTAGTACACAGACAGGGGTTCTCAAAATCTGAGTGGACACTTGCTGGAGGCAAATCATGTCATAATATAACCCTCATCACCTGCCCTTCTTCCTGAGAATGCTGCACAAAATTATCATTTGGGGATTCATTTAAAGCTTTCCTAATGCTCCTTCTCAATTAGTCCCAAGGAGAATGGACCCGTGCCTCAGACAGCTCAGCTTCTTAGCAGGCACTTTCTTGTTTTCCTTTAAGGTACTTCCACACAAGATCACATTCCCTTGGCAAATGAGACAAATATTCGAGTCCAGCAGTAAAAGGACAGCGCCTTTCTTCTTCTGAGGGACACAGCTTAGAGGAAGAGACCCTGGTACTCTCTCAGAGGCAGAGGATGGCTTTCACAGTCCTCCAGTCCATTCCCTTCATTTTGCAGATGAGGAAACACAGGCCCAGAGCAGTGGAGTGGCCTGGCTTGGGTAGCCTGCACGGTTCCTCCTGGAGAAGGCCAGCCTCTGTGTGGCCAGGCCCTCCCCTAGGCCCAGGATTTCCCAGCTCGGGGCCACACACACCAGTCCTGGTTGAGCTCCTCTGTGCTTAACACCCCCATCTGCCCAGAGTTCTTTCCTTCAAGGGGCTACGAACTCAAGGCTCCTTCCCAAGCCTCGGCCTGGGCCATTTTACCTCTAGGAAAAGTAAGCAATTTCCCCTGAAGGCATGCAGTATCCTGGTGTCCACTCTTGAACACTGAACAGCAGGGGCTTGAGAGAGTGATGCAGTTGTCCCCTCCTCACAAAAGGCCAAGTGTGCTTCCACTACAATAACCCTCGTTTCCCCCAATCCCCTGGCAAAGTTGTGCCTGCCAACTGGCAACACAACACATAAGCCACCGCCAGCTCTGGGCTTGTGTTGAATTAACTTTTTTTGTAAAGTAGGCTAATAGTTTGGAAACTGTCATTATGCAATTAGTATTCACTTTGAAATGGGGTTATTTATGCTTCGCCTGGATCCATGTCACACACTCTCCTTCTCCGATGTCCCTGCAACGCTACGGGGCAGGGACCCAAAGCGCAGTGGTCTAAATGTCATTTACAAATGCATCCCAATGGTCTGTACGTCTCCCCAAGCAAAGCAGAGATCTTAAGGAGACAGTTTGGATTCCCAACATTTACATGCAAATATTTTTAGACTCCAGGAACACAAAGGACCCCTTCTGAAAGCACTCTGTTGTGCTTCACAAACAAGGGGACACAAGTGACTGAAGAGGCGGCACACAGGCATGGGCAGCATAATTGATACACCTGGACCTTTCGGAAGCACAGCCCCCAGACAAAACTCGGACCTCTCTGAGAACCGCCGAGCTGGAACACAATTTTGTATTTTTGGCCCAAGAATCTTGGTTTAGGGAAAAAACAGGAGCCAGAGTAGAGACCAAGGAATAGTCTCACCAGTTCCCCTTGAACAAGGGAGACAGATTAAGTGAAAGATATTTTGAAATTAGTAGGGGAAAAGGAGGCTTCTTCGATGACCCCAGAAAGAAAAGAATCCACATCCAAGGCTGGGCCCTGGGCAATTTGGTACGTGGGGGCG